CGCAAGAGTGAAGAGGGATAACCTCGTCACAGATATGACTAAAAACGGCCGTACTTCTTGTTTGTACAGCAGTGTCACATGTCGAAAGCGAGTCCTTGCAGGAGAAAGCAGCCGACGGGCGCACCGAGCCACACATGCCGAAGTCCTAGCACCGTGGAGGTCGGCAGCGTGCGAGACCCCACCGAACCCATTCGGTCACCAGTGGAGGCCGACACCAACCAGGACCAGGCCAGGGGGCCACCTGACCGCCCATCTTCTGGTACGAACCTAGGACGGACACACCAATCGCTGCTCGCATTTACTGAGGAAATGGGCGCGCCCAAAAAGAGCAGTCCTATTCAGATCAACCACGGGCTGAGGGGCGCGGTCAACCCCGACGGCAAAAACGCCTGGCAGCGCGATGGACGCTAGCCGCCTCCAGCGGTGCAAAATCTTGAACTGACTGCAACACGAGAGGGCGAAGCGAATCCCAAACTCCAGACAGGGCGCCCCTAGCCTCCACAGGGCCAATCCAGACGTCGCTCCAACACTTTTCACGGCATTGCATCACTCTAGAGGGAAAATGTCGCTGGGGTCACCATCACCTCTGGGGGGGGCCTAAATCATGATTCAACCAACCATGGACTCGCTCGGCACACTTCGGCAGCACCTCGGGGAGCCAGTTCGCCGCATTAGCCCTAGAAGCAGAGCGGGCCACCCCCCAGGCAGCACTGAGCGAGCGATAGATAGCGCCAGAGCAATCGCCCATCCAACAGACCGGCCGGCAACTAAACTGGGCGCGCCAACAAGAAGGCGAGAGCAAAACATCCGCCAAAAAACACAAGCCTTCATCTCGGAGGCCAAATCTGGGAAGACAAAGACTTTCGCGCCAAGTGCAACCAGTATCCCCGTGATGTGTGAAAGAGGTCGGCTCAGCGAGCCAATTCAGGAACACGGCAACTGCGCCCACGGGGCGCCCTCCTGCGGATAGTGGCGCATCCGAAACTTGGGAAACCACCGCGTTTGATGCGGCGCCGCTTGGCATGACGCGCGACCGCGCTGGACTCGAATATGGCCTCGGTCGCCCTGGACCAGAAAAATAAATCCACGCCATCAGGAGAGAAGATCGCTCGCGCGAACCAAAATACCTAGCGGAAAATATAAAGCACCTCGCTGGGTCCACATCGGAGACTCGCCGCCGCAAAACAGATCAGGGCAGATCAGAGCCACGACGGAAAGGTATGACATTAGGCTTGCACCTTTGCCATATAGAATGATCCAGTACTCCACGTTGCATACGTGCCCCCAGACAGACACGCATCTTGACATGGTTTTTCGGGCACGTGTTTACATTCACATAATCGGCAGTGCAATTAAATGCAAGTGCATCATCAATGAGAGCGCTACGGCCCTGATCACAAATTACATGCACATCCCGAGGGCTACGGCACGAGCACGAGCACGAGCACGCCGAGGAAAACCAGAAATCGCCTGGTTTACGATCCCAATGTTAGCCAACGCTGACCCCAAACAACCGGCTATTGCAATCTACGCGGGGCAAAATATGTGGTGCATGTATACGATGCGAGCTACGTAATACAATCTATGCGGCGCAACCTACGCTGTGCAACTGATTTCAACAAACAAATTGACTCACTCAGCGCTCTTGCAAACATCCGACCCACCCCCCCGCAACTTGGTTTGTAAAACACACGCGGCAGCGATTGCAATGAGTGTTTGGCTTTGGCGGTTGCATCTGTGCGGCCGCGTCAACCCAAGCACGAGCGTGCAGCGGCCGGCTAGTTTACCGCGACCGACGCAGCCGCGGTTGCGCTGACCAGTGGGCACATCCCAACGGGCACTTCACTGCGAGTCAGCGACTTCGACGAGCGCGGTATCATGGCACGTCGACAACGGTAGACACGATGATAGCAGAATAGTAGCGATATTGGCGACGATGTTGGCAACGACGACGACGCGGCCAGTGACGGCACCGATGCTGATAACGCCGACGACGATAACGGCGCCCTCGCGTCGGCGATGAAGGTATTGGAAACAATTCGACGTGCGCGCGTGGCCGACGCGCGCGAATGGCCCGCATGGTATTCTTTGACGCGGATCGCGCCCCCACCCCCCCCCCAGCACGCGCGCAAGGGTGTGCGAATGATGTCGGCATGCGGCGCGACAGGCCCGTTTGGCAGAATTCCATTGTACGTTTTACAATCTTAAACCAAAAAACGTGTTGCGAAACCGTGTGTTTATATGTTGATTGGACACTCGATTTCAAAATCCTTAAAATCCTTACGAAACCGAAGGTGTTTGACGAATTTCGACATGCGCGCGCGACGATGCGCGCGCGCACTTCACCCCATTGGTTTGCAAAAGGGTTCTCGCGACAGCGCGCGCGGCATTCGAACGATTTCGACACGCGCGCGCAAAACCCTTTTGGTAGCATGTTCTGACAAGGTCGAACAACCATGGCTTTCGGAAGAACTCGCAAGAACGCGAAAATCCGCGCTGCGAAACCGAAGGTGTTTGAAGGATTTCGGAATGCGCGCGCGACGACACGCGCGCGTACACTTCGTCCCATATGGTGCAAGATAATAATTAAAACATACACTTTTCAATCGACAAATGCGACCGCGTAGTATTTGTTGCAGGGGATGGCGGGGGGGGCGATACCGGCTCGGCTGGGATGGTACGAAGTCGTATTTCGGATGGACGGCGGGGCAGAATCACATGAACCGATAATCCTGGGGGGTAGACTCTACTCTCGTTTAAGAGAGGAAAACACATGCGATGATGCAACCGACGTAATGCAATCTACGCGGTGCAATCGATGTGGTGCAACGTATGCGATGCAATCCTTATAGTGCACTCTACGAGGTGCAATCTACGTTGCGCAATTGATTTCAACAAACGAGATGACACATCCCATACACTTGCAAACATCCCACCCAGGCACCCGCAAGTTGGTTTGCAAACCCATGCGGTGGCGATTGCGATGCATGCTTGGAGTTGGCGGGTGCATATCTGCGGCCGCGCCAACCCAAGCACGCGCGCAGAGGCCACCTAGTTTGGCGCGACCGACGCTGCCGCGGTGGCGCTGACCGCCGGGCACTTCACTGCGACTCGGCGACTTGGGCGAGAGCGGCATCATGGCACGTCGACAACGGTAGACACGATGATAATAGTAACGATGCTGGCAACGATGTTGACAACGACGACGGCACAGCCAGTGACGGCGCCGATGCTGATCACGCCGACGACGATGACGGCGCCCTCGCGTCGGTGATGAAGGTATTGGAATGAGTTCGACGTGCGCGCGTGGCCGACGCGCGAATGGCCAGCATTGTATTCTTTGACACGGATCGTGCCCCCCCCCCCCAGCACGCGCGCAAGGGCGTGCGAATGATGTCGGCATGCGGCGCGAGAGGCCTGTTTGGCAGAATTCCATGAAACTGTTGAAAAACCTATGGTTTACCCAAGAATTCGCAAGAGCGCGAAAGCACGCGGTTTGGAAACTGATGTTGCGAAACCATGTGCGGTTGTATGTTTGTTGGACACTTGGCGTTGAAATCGCTACGATATCAAAAGTTGCTGACGGATGCCAGCATGCGCGCGCGACGACGCGCCCGCGCACTTCGTCACATGTTTTGCGAAGAATTCTCGCGACAGCACGCGCGCAACGGCGTTCGAACGAGTTCAACATCCGCGCGCGCGAAGTTCGTGTGGTAGCGCTTGCTGAAAAAATAAAAACCAATCGTTTTAAGAATCCGCAAGAACGCGCGCGCAAACTTGTTTTGAGAACCCGTGTATTTGAAATCCTTGCGAAACCGCAGGTTTTTGAAGGATTTCGGAATGCGCGCGCGACGACGCGCGAGCGCACACTTCGTCCCATCTGGTGCAAGGGTTTCTGGGAAACTGATGATTTCCAACACAAGTGTTGAGCGTTTTTGTTATTCGGTTTTTAGACATTGGGCGGAAGGGGGGGAGGGGGGGGTCTGGCACCAGACCTCTGCTTAATGCGACTGTTTGCAACAGTGCTGCCTTTGGGGGAGACTACACCAGCTCGAAACAGGCGCCAAAAAAACAACCAAAAATCTACTCCATAGGGGGGGAGAGGCCGCGCCGAACGGCAAAACAATGAATGAAAAAACGATCACGTGCGCGCGCGCAGTATCTTTTGCAGGGGATGGCGGAGGGGGGGCGATACCGGCTCGGCTGGGATGGTATGAATTCATATTTAGGATGGACGATGGGACATAATCATATGTAAATTGCAATACGGAAAGGGGGTGATAATCCCGGGAGTGGGTAGAGTCTGTTTTTGAAAAGAGAATGTACGTATGGGATGCAACCGATGTAACGCAATTTTTCCGGATGCAATGTATGCGATGCGGCGACGGCGACGGGCGGCGACGGGCGGCACGGGTGGCAACGGGCGGGGATGGCGGCGACGGGCGCCGACGGGCGGCGACGGGCGACGCGGCGACGGGCGGCGACGGCGGCGACGGGCGGCGACGGCGACGGACGGGCGGCACGGCGGCGATTTTGCGGCGAGGGTCCCGAGATGGTCAACCGAAGTAAGAACCCCCAGTGCTGCAAGCACTGTTTGGGAAAAATGGCAATCATGGCCACAGACGACAGCAGCGAAGCCTGGGTCACAGGCCAAAAAAGCCATACACATACACAGTGCAAAACCAAAGCTCCCACTCCTCCATGCCCCTCCGGCGGAGGGCGACCCAGACCAGGAAGAGGGCAGTCGGTGCAATACCACCTTCTGCTGATCTTATCTCCAGAGAAGAGGCTATAAAGAGATGGTCAGTGTGCGTGGCGTTGGGTGTACTCTGAGCAATATGTGATCACACAGCGTGGCCAGCGGCTCCTCTCGATGTGCTTCTGGATCTAAAAAAGAACGCAGAATCGCCCTCCTCCAGCCCTCCTCCTCCCCGCCGGATCCCTCCTTCCTCCTGCCTCCCTCATCCCTCATCCCTCCATCCTCTTCCCCGCTCGGAGTCCTCGAGGTCCACGGTGGCAGCAGGCAGCTCCAATGGCACCATGTACGAGGCGTCCGTGCAGGCCGTGGTCGCTGGGCTCCAGTTGGGGGTGCCGACGGAGCACTTCAGGGCGGGTGAGGCCTGATTCGGGGCTTCGGGGGAGGGCCCAAGGGGGAGAGTGGAGGAGGAGGAGGAGGAGGAGGAGGAGGAGGAGGAGGAGGAGGAGGAGGGGGAGGAGGAGGACAGGAGGAGCAGGGTAATTATCAGAAGGAGTAACAGAAGGAGGAACAGGAGGAAGAGGAGCGGCAGCAGCGGCAGTTGGAGGAGGAGGAGGAGGAGGAGGAGGAAGGCGAGGGCAACGATGACGAGGGGGCGGAGGAGGAAATGGAGGGCAGAGGGTCAGGCGAGACCTCCTCCCCCCTCCGCTCCGCCCAGGCCCTCGACAAGCGAGCCCTCGGGATCCTTCAGGACCGCCCTGGGCCGTCGAAGGTCTCCTTCTCCCCCCGCCTGCAAGCCGAGCGGGGCTCCAGCTGGGGGTCGGCCCCTCCTCCGCTCCTCCCAGGCAATCTGCACGCAACCCCGCAGCAGCCCTCGCGACCCTTCAGGACCACCCCAGGCCGTCGACGGCCTCCTCCTCCCCCCGCCTCCAAGCCGAGCGGGGCTCCAGCCGGGGGTCGGTACCCCGACGGAGCAATCCAGGGCGGGAGAGGCCCGGCTCGGGGCTCCATTACACGTGCCTTGTTCGATTTCGCGCGTGCTGCTGTGCCCGATGATCACAGATGCTCCTCGATGGTCCTCGCCGAAAGATGTTTTAACAAAAAAACGTCTGAGCGATGCCAAGGGACGTGGGTGCCTCCCAGACTCGGGAGCGTCCAAGTCAGGGGCGTACAAGAGGGGGGGTGGACGATCGACGTTTTATCCGTACCCTTCCTAACGCTCCGACCCCACGAGGGCCCACGAAGTTCCTGGCCGCCAGAACCATGTTTTTTACCCATGCCCTGCTTGCCCTGCCGCCCTGAGTGGGGGACAACGGCAGCGGTTTGGATCGAGCATCAATCGTCGAGGAGTCGCAAATCACGGCCCGAGCCACGTGCGTGGCCCACGAGGGGGGCCAAGGGACGTGCTGAAACAAGCAGAGGGGGCCAAGAGATCGGCGGAGAGCTCATCGCCCAGGCCAGGGTTTGGCGGCGCGCACAGGGGGGTGGAGGGAGGGGGGAGGGCTTTTTAGAAGGAGGCTGTTTCTCAGAAGACGCCGGCCTTACATCCATAGAGAAGGCCCGCGCCTTCTAAGAAGCAGGGGTGCTTCTCAGAAGCCATCCCCCCTCCCCTCCCCCCCCTCTGCGCGTGGCTGAAGGGTACTCACCCAACCCCAGTCACCAGGATCGAGAATCTCGGAGATCCGACGGTTCTGGAGGTCGTGTCGGGCGCCGCGGCCATTCCGAAGCGGTCAAGAACGCTCTCTGGAGTAGTCCGAAACGCTCCGGAATGATCTACCCCGATCCTGGGCCTGTCTGATCGAGGGACCGCGGAGGCCTCCCATATGGGGCCAGAGTACGGTGCGGCCGAATCAGAAGGATGCGCGGTGAGAATGCAAGGCCCCTGGAAACCAAACTACAGCCGAAGTTGGAGGCACATGGCCCATGGCTCAGGGCTGGGGTGGGCTGAGAGGCAAAAATGCAAGGGTACCCTTGGAAAGTCACTCATCCTTATGATGCGGTTTGACTGTAGATCGAAACAGAGGACTGCATCGCATCGCAAATGCAGCGCCGATGCACCCGCGAAGTCGGGACGGAGAAAGTCGGACTCCGTATTGGGCCGCATTGACGATGCATCGGCGATGCGGCACGATCTGGCGTGATCGTCCGACCCTATCATCCCGCCTCCTCCCTCTGGCCTCCAGCCATATGTATCAGCACAGGTTGGTATTGCCCTCATTTGGCAAGTCTGGGGAATGTCAACGATCCCGCGCAGAAGGCGGCTGCACCCAGCCGAAAGCCGCGGGAAGCACGTGAACAAACGCGCCGCGACGTGCACCACAGCGTGCGTATATAGACCTAAGTCTACAGCTAAATAACTATACAACTGTACGAAGACGTATATACATATAGTTAAATATACGCAGATCTCCATCACCCATTCAGTTTGTATCGGTATGTGAGATCTTCACGCGTACTCTTACTGATCATCCGCTTTATTTTCATCCGTGCCTGCTCATCCGCCTTTTCTATCCGTCGTGTCTCCATTGTTTTCTCGTGATGAAATCTAACTATGGATCTGGGATCTGCTCCGTTGTAATTAGATTATTACTCCGCTGATCTGGCGTGTGAACTACAAGGAGCCTCAGCAAGAGCTTCAGCTCTGAGCCTAAGCAAGAGCTTCAGCTCTGCTTGGGGGGGTCGCCAGGGTGGCTCTGCTGGGGAAGAGGGGGAGGGGGGGGACGGTCCCCCCATCTGGCGTTCTCTTAATGATTTGCGCATCCCCAAGATGTTTCGGGGGGTCCCAGGGACCCCGCTCAGATTCTGCTTGGGGGGGGTCGCCGGGGCGGCTCTGCCGGGGAAGGGGTGGGGAGGAGGGGGGGTGGGGCGGTCGCCGATCTGTCGTTTTTCTTAAGGATTTGCGCATCCCCACAAGGTTTCGGGGGGTCCCAGATCTAACCGCTACCGCCCCCAAGACCCTCCCCTCGGAACCCTCCCCCGGGACAGCTCAGCGGGAGACAGAGGATAACGAGAACTAGGGAGAAGAAAGGGGGCCGGAAGAATCGAGGAGGGAGGAAGCCACAGAGCCGCGAAGATCACCGAATCCGGAGCCCCCCAGATCGGCGGCACTGGCCGGAGGCCATTACAATAGATTCCAGTAGGAGTCCTGATTTGACACAGCTGGATCTGGGATGTGGCCCATTCCATTCTATTAGAATTTAATTCCAATACGGATCGATGCACTCCAGTTATATTATAATTCTATTTCATTCCAGGTGGCATCACATTGGATTCAGCGGGATATGTGATCTGTCCAACTCGACTTCGATGTTAATGGGGGTCCAAGAGGAATCCAATTTGAATCAGCTGCATCTGGGGTCTGCTCCATACCAATTAGATTATAATTCGATTCGAATAGGAATCCACGTTGACTCAGCTATATCTGGGAACGGCATCAAACTAGCATCCACTGGATCCGGGAGCTGCTCTAAGGAGCCCCCCTCCTTTGTTCAATATCCTCCAAGATGGCCCCAAGAGTTCCCCCGAGGCTCGCAAGGGTGCCCCAAGAGGGCCCCAAGAGGTGCCCCGGAGGCTCCCAAGAAGCCTCAAACATGCCTGTCCACCGAAGAGGCTCCAACGAAACCCCCAAGACGCCCCAAGAGGTCCTAAGAGGTCTCGGCGAGATGACCCAAAGCATTGATTGTATTAAGGTCCTGGCCACACTTTGACATCCTGGGGAGGGGGACCCTAAGTAAGGAGCCCGCCTCCTTCGATCGATCTCCTCCTAGATGGCCCCAAGATGGCCCACGAGGCTCCCTAGAGGGCCCCAAGAGGTGTCCAGGAGGCACCAAAGGCCCAAGGAGACCCCAAGATGCTCCCACAAGAGACCCCCAAGAGGCTCCAAGAGGCCCCCCAGAGGCACGCAAGATGCCCCAAGAGGCCCAAAGAGGTCCCAAGAGGCCCCTGGGACTGCCAAGAGACCCCCAAGACGCCCCCAGAGGACACCGAGAAGCTCTCGAAAGCAGATTGCACCACATAGCTTGCATCTCATGTGTTGCGCCACACCGAGTGCACTTTGAGAGTGGAAGAACTCACTGATTGCGGACCACGCAAGCAAACAAGCAGCTTTTGCTGCCGATTTCTACTGGGAGGCTTCCCCAGACCTAGCATTCTGGATCGCGAGGCAGATCCAGCCATGGCCACGAAGTCGCCCCCAGCGAGCCCAGAATTGGCACGAACGAAATGGGTAGGGAAAAAGTGGCACGATGCTTAGCAGGACATGTTGTCCAAAACCGACAGCGGCCCCTGTTGGCGACTCCCTGCATCAAGAGGACTACGTCCGCAGCGAGGCCGACAGCGAATCCTGTTCAACATGGACAGGATATGCTGTTGGTCTTCGTCCTCTTCTTTCCGTACCAGTTTCGATCCTCCAGACAAGACCAAAAAATAATCCCGCACGGCTTCTCCTCGACCCTCAGTCGTCGTCCTGAGAGCGGGGAGGCCTGCTGCAGTGGGACGTCGCAGACGCCGTCCGCGAGCATGCCACGGGCCTCCTCCAGCAACAGCCTGTCGGAGGTGCTCCCCGACGCGCCGAGCTGGTGGCGCTGGCCTGCGGAGGCGGGAAGCCAGGGGCAGCGTTTGGGGGGCGGGACCCAGACCCCATCGGGTCGCGAGAAAATCACGACGGCATTGTTCTTTTGCTTTTTTCGGCGTCCGGGGGGGGGCAGCTCGGGGTCGGGCGGGGGAACGCCGAGCTTGAATCACCCGCAGATCGCCAATGGATCGCCGATAGGCCCACGACAGCCTGGGCGGGGTGGGCCAGCAGGCCCTCGTCGGCGATGCAGTGTCGATTGAGGGCCCATGGCACGGGTCGAGACCTCCGGGGGGGGGGTCGAGACTCGCTCGAGGCTCGAGCCTTTCGGACGTCTCCCTTGGCTCTCGGCGGTGTCTCTCGGTCTCGGGGTGCCCTCTGGCGGCCGTGCCTCGCCGAGAGCGTGCTGGACGTTCCCGGAGCGTCCCAGGCGGCCGTCGGAGGCCCGAGCTATGGCTAGGTCGGGCATGTCCCCCAAGATGCGGATGTTTGACGAAGACTGGGAGACAGTCAAACCCTCCTCCCAAATCATCAAAAACAGTCCAAAAACCATCCCCATGTTATGTTTTGACCATTCTTGAATATTCCTCCTGTAGAGGGACAGGCCCGACCTAAAGCTATGGCCCAGAAAGCACCAGGGGACCAGCTCGGGGGGGGAACATCAAGCTTGAATCAGCGATTCATCTCCGATAGATCGGCGATAGGCCCCCGATAGCGAAACGGGAAACATCAAGCTTGAATCAGCGATCCATCTCCGATAGATCGGCGATTGGCCCCCGATAGCGAAGCCGCACGTTCCTGGGCGGGATGGGCCATCAGGGCCCGTGTCGGCGATGCGTGATCGGATGGGGGGTCGATGCATCCGCCCCTGAACGGGTTTCCCCGTCTTACGCTGCGCCTGAGGAAGCTGACACGCCGCGGGGAGACCCTGGCCGGCCCGCGCACAGGGAGCTGCGGTAGGCTCGCATCGCGGGGACGTCGGCGCTGGTTTCTGGCACCACTTGGACCCTTAGAAGGCTCCCACATGGGGTCCGAGTAGATGGGGAAGGACGATCGCCGATGCGTCGCCGATGCGTCGCCGATGCATCGCCGATGCATCGCCGATGCGTCGGCGACGTCGGCGCGGAAAATTCGGGCTCCACGTTGAGCCGCATCGCCGATGCATCGGGGGTGTGGCGCGAACCTCCGACCCCATCTACGTACTCGAACCCCAGCTGAGAAGCCTGGAGTCCTTCAGCGCTGAAAAATGCAGACATTCCCACTGCATAGGTGGTTCGACGTCGGCCGAGTACAGGCGTCTGGAGGCGTTCAAGCTTGAACGCCCGCGCTGGGGACGCCGCCGCGTAAGCGCGGCGCGAGCCCACTGCCCCGTTGCAGCGAGCCTGGGCCCCGCCGAGTTCGAGCGTTGGCAGAACTGGGTTTAGTGGGGCCTTGTTTAGTGATGATGTGTGCTGGGGGACGCCCCCCCCGCCCCGTTCCACTAACCGGAACTGCCGTCACCCGAAAAAACACCAACTACGGCAGACCTGTTTTAGTGATTACGGCCGATTTCGAGGCTCTAGGGCCCTACCACTAACCAGGTACCCTTACCTGGGGTCCTGGCTATACCCGACCTGGGCCCCGCCGAAGTGGCTCGATGCCGGCGACCACATGACGGTCTATCGAAGACGGTGGGCACAGACAGAGCAACCCTACGCCGCGGCATACGCGTGCCACCATGCACGCCACATCGGAAACGAGGGCGCTCGCTTGCGCGCGTATTCACGCGAGCATGAGGGGCAACGACAGGGGGGGACTGGCATAGGAGAGAATGCATCGACCTGCAATCGGCGATACATCGCCGATAGATCGGCGATAGGCCTGCGATCGTGAATCCGCACCTTCCTGGGCTATCGGGCCCCTATCGGCGATCAATGGGCGATTCGGAGTCGATGCATTCCCCCCTATGCCTATCCCCCCCTATCGTTGCTCCTGAAGGCAGCTTACGCGCCACTGCCGGCGCAGGCGACCCCGTCATCTTCCGCCGCTCAGATGGCGGTACAACGGCGCAGATCGAGGGCATCCTGGGGCGAGAGAGCTTCCTCCAGGAACCGATGGAAAAAACGTCCTCGCCGCCCTCGTCGGACATCTTGGGAGGGAAGGGAGCAGTCGTGGGGACGCTACCCTTCGCAAGAATGACCTCTCGTGCGCGGTTGAAGCGCTGACGTCCGTGCTTCAAGAGGCCTCCCTGCCTCGGGCTCTGCGTCTCAGCAGCTGCGCCTCGACGACAGCGTCCTGGGGGTGCCCGAACCTGACGGGCCTGTTTTTCCACCACCACCACCACCATAAGTTGGTGGGGGAAAGGGTCCTCCTCCTCCTCCTCCTCCTCCTCCTCCTCCTCCTCCTCCTCCTCCTCCTTGGGCCAGGCGATGCCCAGGGGGTCACGCACTGAGGGGGGCGCCACCTGCCCCAGAAGACGGAATCCCCTGGACCCTCCAGAATCCCCCGAGGACGTCCAAGGACTCCCTAAATCGCCTCGATCACTGGTTTCCATGAAGATAAAGTGGTGTGAACCCCCCAGTGGTGACCCCCCTCGGCACTCCCCGATTGGACCCATATCTCAGAAAAGGAAAAACTGCAAGAGCACGAACTGGGAGAGGTTCCGGCGATTTGGGGGATCGGCGCTGGGCCCCTTCCCTGGAATGCGGAGCGCGCCAGGGGCGGCGCTGGAGGCGCCGCCAGGGGGTGCTCAGCGCCGACAAATCCGCGCGGACCTCCGAAAGTTTATGCTTACATCGCACTTTCTTCTTATTTTCATTAGTAATACCATTGCTATGCTTATTGTTGCCATTCGTATTATCATCTACATTATTATTAGTATTCGTATTATTATTAGTATTATTATTATCATTATTATTATTAATATTAGTATTACTATCATTATTATTAGTATTATTATTATTCGGCATCCAGGGTGGGGTGGCGGTATCGCGTCATCCTTTCAATGATCATCAGGGCGTGTGTTAGCGCCAACGTGTGCTTTGTCCATCGAATCCCTTCCAAAAACCCAGGCGTGTGCAACGAGGGCCGACGCAGGCTGCGTGTTAGCGGAGGAGCTGCACGAGGGAAAACACGCATTGGCCTGACACACCTCCTGAGAATTATCGATCAACGATCTTTTGAGGGGCAACGTTGATCGGAAGAGCTGCACGAGGGAAAACACGAATTGATCTGATTAACACACCTCCTGAGGAT